CTGGCATTGAGAGTATGGACACTTTCTAGTCAACTCACTCTCTCTTTTCTTGAAGGACCCTAACTAGAATTGGTTCGGAAATACTTCAGTGGTCAGCTGGTTCCACATAGTGGTGCGCGGCAAAAACTGTCTTAAAAATCGGTCAGTTGTAGAACGACGGACGTCGAGATGATACGGGTGGAATTTCGTATTCTGCGTCAACGTCCGATGATGAAACTCAGCTGCAGGTAATAATCCGAACAACTCCTCTGAACACTCTCCATGGTGAATACGGTAGAAGATGCAGAGTTACCCACATCTCTATACGTTTATGCCAAACAAAAGAATCGGTTTCACATTTAATATTTACAAATGAACTTGCTTCATATAAACTTATATGTGTTAAGACGTGTTTGGGATATAACATTTTTATTATCACAACAAAAAGATCACATTATCATTCACTGTCCCTATCCTAATTACGAAAGTGGAGCGTTAAATATAAAATTTTTAATGCGTACGTGCATCGCACGATAAAACATAATTCATTTACGGCCCTGTCTCATGCGCCCCACGTATGCACTGGGGTGGTCCCACTAATGTGCACCCACAATGTTCCACTGCGATAATTACCTGTGACTCGAATATTGATTAGGCTGATAAAAAGCCTTGATAACGATCGATATGAATGCAACTGCTGTTACCCCGAATTTCAAGAATTTTAAAACACCTTAAATGTTCGAAATTTGTAATTCGTATCCTTTGGCGCGAAATTGTCATTTCAATAAAAGATTGACAAAAAAATTATACCTTTTTAAACTACGGTCACTAAACAAAATATGTTATGTGTGATCACGTGTTTTTCTTCCACAATTACATAGACGTATGGTTAACAATTGAAAACCATATCGAATCATAGGAAGTAATTTGCTTATATAATAAGTAATAAGCTATCTTTGAATATGATACGAAAACCAATCTTGCTCGTAATAAGAAAGAAAGTATCCACACAATTATCCCTCACGTAGTTGAAAATAAAATTACTTTGTACACTATGATCAAAGAAGGCCGCACTTATTTGATTTTGAACCTTTTTCGATTGTAATAAAATTCATTCTTCTGTAAATTTTGTTTTGATTACTGCGCATGTGTAAATTTTCGGAGGGAAAGTTCGTGAACAGTTTACAAAGTATTGTGGGGAGTTACATGTCTTTTTAATAAGGTTTATTTATTGATTACACTATTAAATATAAGTTACTTCACGTAAATTTAGTAAGGAAATTATAACTCGACGTCTATTTTATCACTTTAAGTTACATGGACTGTGGAAAATCTGTCGTCATGGCAACGACATAGATGCACATTACAAAGTGCAAATTTCGCGTCGCTTCATGAGTGTTGAACAAAGATATGTTTGTGTTATTGTAGTCCCAAGGTCTTAGTTTACTTAATGTTATGGAACATTGTCGAGTGTTTACGTATAGGTAAGTACAGCGAGTGATTACTGTTCATATAATAGTGTACATATATTTTTAAAGATGTTCAATACAATGCCTTTGTTAAGTTTTGATTTAGAGGCGTAAAGAAATGCAAATGCGTATCAGGGAGCGTTCAAGTATCACGTAACGCAATTTGGGGAGAGTCTTTTGAAACGTTACAGTGCGTTACATGGGCGGGAGGGGGGTTATTTAAACAACGCGTTACGTATCATTTTTTATTTTAATAAAAAAACTGGGGGATTAATTGGCAACCCTTTTCGTTTATGTTGTACGGGGAATCCCTTTATTGTATTGATTTGTACATGATTTTTATTTTATTAGAGTTCACACAGAAACACATTGCTGTTGTCAGTATCGTTAAAGATTGAGGAAATACCGTAATGTCCTCGAAAGCGGGAGATTTGCATCAAAAGATGTCATATTAACTTGCCAGCACAATTGTGCCAAAAAAATGCCAACGAAATTTGGAAAACGGCTAAAGAAAAACTTTAAAACAAAGAAAAGTTTTTAGAACATATAAAGGATGTTATACATATGACTTAAAAATCTTTTTGTTTATTACAAATGCAAACGCAATTAATACAATAACAAAGGTATTACTTAGTTTAACACTTTAATGGTCACTTAAATGTTACGTAACGTTAGAGAGGGGTTGGGGGTACAGAAAAACGTTATGGTGCGTTACATGGGGGGTAGGGAGCTTCTAAATACTTTAATAATTGCGTTACGTAATACTTGAACGCTCCCTCATTTGCTGCTGGTTTTTCGTCTGACCTCTATTGGTATTATTATTTTGCTAAATAATTATTAATCGGTTGATATATATTATATATTCATGTAGTCTTAAAGGTGTCGATGAGTTTCTATTGGAATCGTTTGTGTTCTTTAGGTTAGGTTAAGTTTATTCTCAAATTTTCAATAAAAAGTTATATTTATATGTAATATCTCTTACATGTATATTACAGATCATATTAAAAATTATAAGCGGTGCTTGGTAATAGTATCTTTATAAAATTTATTTATTATTTTTGAGTCGTAAATATGTAGTTACAGTTAAATTTTGTTACAAGATCCATCCCAATTTAGTGTTATTTAAATGATAATAAATAATAGCCTTTTAATTCAGATAATTTTACATTTAAACACGTTTCTATTTAAATCTTCTTTTAGGTATCTGAGTGCCCTTTTTTGGCATAGGCCTCTTCCAAATCCCGCCATTCCTCTCTGCACTCTCTGCCATGTACCACCTGCTGCTTCTTTAATTTAGTCTATCCACCTTCTAAGTTTTCTGCATCTTTTTTATTTGCTGTACCTTTGGCACCAGTTTAGTACTTTTTTGTTCCACTTTTCTGGTCCTCTTGCCATGTGCCCGTTATGTAAATATGTTTCCTTAAATCAGTCGCTTACATATTTCGTGTTTTGCTTGAAACTTCGTTCCCCTTAGATTATTATCTATTACATATTCCCCTTTTTAGTTTTGATTATTTTTAATTTATTTATCATTTAAAATTTATATATATTGAAATTATTAATTATGATTGGAATTTAAATTTAAGGATTATTTATGGTATTTTTTTTATTGCATACACAAATTATGTAATAATTAATTATATGATATATTTGTTTAATTATGAAAATACAGAGGCTATAATAATAACATAGTCACAATTTACTTTGAGTAGAGTTACAGTAGTAAGTTGAGTAGAGTTTTAAAGTGAAAACTATGGACCTCGCTCTCTTGTACAACAATAAACCCAAAAATGCCATATCCTTGCCCCGGACGCGGATAATTAACACATAATTGATTCCGCTTGGCTTAGACAGAACCGGTTTATCCGGCCCTACAATAACCCTGTGATACTCGTAATCGCGGCCCTTGTGTCAATTAGACCTTTTAGTAGAACCGCTGTACCGACCTTGATCTATTGTTTTGGGTTGTTTCAAATATTTGATGATAGTAGTGACAAAGAATGGAAAATAATTCGAAGAATAAATTATTATTTATGAATTATTTACGCAAAACTAATCGTTTAATTGTTAAATTTTCCACGCAGTTCAGTATAACGAACAATTCGTAACTATTGGCTGATTTGATTGGCCTAAACACCTTTTAAAAGTCTTCTACATGAACAATTCTTAACCATATCTTATCCTGCTCAATCGTGACTTTTATAATTTAGGTATTTTCGTTAATCTTTTTTAATGTAATAATTTATTTTTAAATTAAGTTTGGTAATTGTATAATTTTTCAGTGTTACTTGTAGTTTTATTTTTGTTGATTTGGTTATGCACTTCTTACCCTTAGTATTTCTTTTTTTTTCTTAGGGTTGGCTGGAAGAGATCGCTCGTTAGCGATAACGCCGCCCGTTGCATTCCTAATAATTTATGTTATTTATTTTTATATGTAATGTAACGAAGTTTAAATAAATAAATAACGGTATATCGAATAGTTAATGTAACCGCAAAGAATATACGAGTAGATTAAATGAAACGTTCGAGTGAAATTTAAAATATACAAATTAACTATTAAGTATATGATAAACCTATATGTTTTTACCGCTATAGACATATAAAAACCTATTGTCAGTTCAGTTAACGGACAATCAAATACGTCTGATAATCTATGAAGTGCATAAATTATTTCCATGCATTATAATAATAATAAAGTCACTTTAATAAATTCCATACTATTAAAAATCCTAAATCTATCAGTTTTGTTGTTATACACTTAGTCTACGTCAGTTATTGATATTTATATTACTTCAGTATATTCTTTTTAGGCACAGACCTCCTCCTGAATTTACCATTTGTTCTTTGCCATCTCCATCCTTTTCATTTGTGGTCTTTTCACGTTTCCCAGGTTAAACAAATTATTTTAGATTGTAATTATGACGGGGCTAATAAAGGAATAACTACAATTTCATACCACATTTATGCAGATGTTGTGAAAGTTAGCTTATTATATCTAAGAGGATTATTAATATTTAATGTTGAGTTTCTAGTGAGGAATGAAGAATTTAGTTTCTAAGCAGCTATTTTAATTACAGACATTATGTCGAAGGTAATCTAAGGTTTCAAGTTTTGTATTATCTTTGTTAAAGCTCTACGTAGTGTTCGATCCTAATATTTATCGTGAGCTTTTACAGGTTTTTTTCGTGTAGAAACGGTTACCATGACAACAGACATCTTTAGTTTATAGTAAGATCGCGTGTGTTTTTAAAACCATTGCCCGTCTCAAACCACCGTATAATTGTATTGATAAGTGTCATTCAATTAGTATTTTCCCTTCCAATTTCTGTAGTAGTAGTATTCTTTTGTTTTAAATATCTCTTGTTTTTGTAAATTGGTTTCGAAAGGAAAACTGAACAAAAAGCCATAACACCTTATTCGCATTGTAAATAATGTAATTTACGTAAAGCGAACAGATGGTTCACCCCGATGAATAAATACACAATAAGCTGAATAACGGTATTTTTTTGAACAAAGCGGTTATTTTTTAAGGCACTCATGCGTGTAGACGCTATGACGCCGGTTTCGCGCGCTTTTGTTGTACGATTCATTACCAATGGCGGCTACTGTATGTGAATCAAGTTCCGTGTAGAACGGAGAGATGGCGTTGATCTCAGTTTCGTAATTGATTTTGAAATATATTATAGTATTTACAGTCAAAACCGTTTACGACGAAATCGTTTAGAACAACATACCGGTTATATATATTGACTAAAATCAAAGGTCCCGGCTGAATTCTATTGTATTACGTACTTAATAACAACGTCATCGGCTGTTACGACTATCGGTTTTTACGATTTTGACTGTATTTAATATGCTCTTTCCTATATTTATATATTTCGTAATAGTACAGCTAACATCAATATATAACAAAAATAAATATACTAAAATTATAGCCAAAGATGGAAAACATAATATATTATTTACAAAAAGGTTCAAACATTTACCAAAGGAAAAAGTAAAAAAAAATTCTATACATTTAATTATGTAATTCCTAATTCAGCCTGTTGTGTGATGGTGTAAAAGTGAGGGTATGTACGTGAGAGTGTTTATGTGGGGTGTGCTCATGATGCAGGAGATTTAGCGCTATTCTTAATATGTACTTCATTCAAGCATATTCCGCGAAAACATACACAAGTCAAGGCTTAAATATTGGTCTCAAGGATTCAAAAAATATGTTATTCATGTTTATTGATTGAAATGTGATATTCTTTTAGCGATAAATTAACTACTTCCCACTAAGATTTTATTTATGAATATCAAACAATGTGTAACTAAAGTAATTTTTTTGTCCTTCAGATTGGCGCGCCCCGATGACGGACGAATCGGAGGCAGCGCGACGTGGTCGCGGGGTGCCGCCAGCACCCCCGCCCCGCGTCGTGCGCCCCGAACCGAAGCCACGTACCGCCCCACCAAGGCTCATCCGCCCTTCAGAGCACCTCGCAATGGTGGAACGGGCCATGGCCGAACGAACCATGGTAGAAAGGTCTATAGCAGAAAGATCTATGATAGAAAGATCTATTGCAGAAAGATCCATGGCGGATAGGTCCATGATGGAAAGACCTATCCCGGAAAGATCCACGGTAGAACGGGGGATGGAACGCAGGCCTCCCGTTCCCCTAAACCCCTCAGTGACAGTGCTCCACGGTCCTAGGCCACCCCCGCCACCACCACCAGCGCCTAGGCATTACGTCCCACCTCCGAGAATGCCAGCACCCACAAGTCCTGTGATGCGGTTGCCGCAACCACCGAGAAATCCTCAGGTAAGATATTTATAGACTTTTTGATGTACTATAATATTTTATATACCTATTTGACAATATCTCGCTGTTAGGAATATAGCTTACGTTACGTACAAACTAGACACCATACAACAACCAATAATTATCACTTACCACGGTCCCAAAACCTGTTATCAATCTGACTAAAGACATACTATGAAATGTCTATGAATAAAACATTATCCTAAAAGTGATCTCTAACCGAATCTCCATAAAAACATACGGACGTAAGGTGTATATGTCACTGTCTAAGGAAAATAGTGTGCACTTTAACTCGGCTTACAAACAATATTGTTTGCCGGGAATCAAGCCTTTTGCTTATACGTCATGTCCGTCAAGCTACGGAAGCGGTTTACCTATTATTATTTATTTACAAAAATACCTTCTGTATGGCAATCAAGGTTTATAATAATTTGCCTAAAACATTGATTGATTGGACTGAGCTCTCCATCTCTCTTTAATTTATATATAAACGCTTTGATTGAGACGCTTAGCAGCGAGCGTGTCGGCTGTCACGTGGACGGTGTGTGCGTTAACAATATCAGCTACGCAGACGATATGGTGCTGCTGAGTGCGTCGGTCTGCGGGGTTAGACGTCTCCTTAAGCTCTGTGAGGTATATGCGGCTAGTCATGGTTTGAAATATAATGTAAATAAAAGTGAAGTCATGGTCGGGGATGTTTGCTGAGGCGCGGGTGGATTGTTTTTACGCCACCATACGCAAGAGATGTGCATCCTTGGTGCGCAGGGTGAGAGCTAGCGGTAACGGTATCCTCCGCATTATCGCGGACCGAGTCGATTGCCCATACCTGAATCACTGTTCCTCTATTTCATGCGGAATGATTCCGGTATGAATTAATGTAAACATACTAACACTTAGATTTAAGGTATGAAGCTGTAATTTACTAACATTGTTATGGAACCTTGTTTTCTGAATTAAACAATTAAATTAAATTAAAACATCTTCCTTCTAGATTTTTATGTAAACGCCATTGTGTGTGTCAGAATATGCGAACTTTAGTTTGTGTGGTACAAATACAATGATAAAATAACAAACATGATATCATTTTTCTACCATATTCTTGCAAATAAATTATTGTTAGTAAAAAAATATATTCACTATCCTTACAGTACTAAGCCAATGCAATAATGTGGAAATTGAAAATAAATATAATTTACACAATATCGCTACTGTGAACTCAATCTGCGAACAAATAAAGATGTCGATAGTATCGAAGACAGCATTAGGCGCAACGTCTTTGTTAACGCGGATATCCCCTAAGTACAAAGAAACCTAGTTCTTGAAGAACAAGACTTCCCGCAAGACTTTAAGTAGTATGCCAACTGTAAGTCCCGTGTTTCTAATATATTGTACCCCATACTAATGTTAAAATTAAATTCTAAACCCGTCTTGAATATGTGACATTTCTCAATTGCATGCCTTGAGTCAATCATGGAAGCATTTGCGCACAAGGCGCCATCATATATCATTGTTTGTGCATGACTCAAGAACACTTTCGCATCGAATATCGTCACATCATCGTTCTGATTAACGTTTGGTGATTCGTGATTCTTGTCGCCTACGGTGTCAAATATTATGTTTGATTATTCTATTGTATTGTTTTGATTATTGTTAAATCTTGCCAAGACCATATGGTTCACATAAAGTTATCAGATCTCAAATAGCGGTTCTACAAGTAACGTAGAGTTGTAACATGTCCAATTGATAATTTGTATTTATTGTTTTAAATTATTTGAAAATCTTTTGTCTCGTGTATAGTCGTGTACTAGCCAAGGCTGTACATTTTGCTCACTCAGGCTTTCTTAGTTTTATAATCGTGACGATTTCCTAAATCGTCGGAGTTACGCCCCGAGTATAGCCAGACGTAGGCACTCTCTTCGACTGTTACATTGCATTCATTCGTTACATAGCAATTAACATTTCATTATTTCGCTTATATTCTATTGTTGTATGCGAGTGGTTAATATAGAGTGAAACTAAAATCTTCTATTATTTAAAGTACCCCGATGCCCCAGGAACGGTACAAGTCAAGTTAGTTTACTAGATGAAATTATCGCCGCTGTAACAGCTAGTATATTATTATTAAATATTCAATGTTTCATGACTTTATATGACTAAATAAGTATAAGAACATTGAAAGTCTTCTTAGTTTACACTATCAACAATAATATTTCAGCTTACACTCAAGTACCCGTTAATCAAGTAACGTATAAAATGTTGTTTGTTAAAAAAAGTCGGTTCTCGGCGTCACGCGGCTTCACAGTTAATTGCGGTCCACTAAGGAAAGTTTTATAAGAATACTGGTATTTGTAACACCCATCTAACACTATCATTGCTAATACTTTTTAAAAAACCAAGCATCTTCGAGGTAATGCACTAAAACTTAACATCGTAAGATGTTGATGCCTTTTGAACTTCTTCCCAAGCAGGGTGGTGCCTCAGATCTCTTTGACCTCTCAGACTTGCATCAGAATGTTGCTGCTAGTGTGTTTACTGAATAATAATAATAACAATATATTTTTCACTATCAACCTTATTATCTTCTCTAGGGTTTATTAAAGATTCGTAAACGCCTTCCACCATTTGTCTGAAAGGATTTTCTTGTATGATTTATTTCTTTCATTTTTCTATATTTTTTTTCTATTAAAACTTTAACGTATATAGACTCGAATGAAAACCCGATCAACCAATGTTGAAAAGCATAGGAAACGAATCTAGTTATGTAAATAATGTAATAAATTAATAGATTGAAAAAGGTTTTATTTACTCGCGGAAACCACAGATTTCTTTAATCTTTTTTATACATGTAATACGTTAAGATATTTCTTATATTTCTTAGTTACAGACTACACGAACATTCACGTGAAAAAGGATCATAGTCTAATTAACACAGGTACTAAAGGTTGTCTCATTGATTAATTAAATTATTATTAAAAATAAAATATATCCTAACGCCTCTATAAAATGGATGCGGTCTGACACAAAGAACTTGTATTATTAAGACCTACTCGTCCTGACCCACATAAAGATCCCCAAAGTTCATTACCTAAGGTCGGCCCTTGGCCCAAATCAGCTGCCGGATTCCAAGACATGCGATGGAATTCTTTTGAATGCGATCCGAATTGTGAATAGAATGCGCTTTTTTATATTAGTTTGTCTTCATTTCAAATCGATAAGAACCTTCCATAAGAATCTTGGAATGTTTTTCTCTATACATACATAAAAATTTAATAAATCAGTGGCACTACATCCCTTTTAGGTCTCAGATTTCTGTATATGTTTCATTATCATTAGTCAATGTAATTGGCTAGAAGGTGATCAGCCTCCTGTGTCTGATACACGCCGTTCACCTTTCTAAGGCAAGCCGGTTTGCTCACGATGTTTTTCTTCACCGTCCGAGCGAATGTTAAATGCGCACGTGGAAAGACAGTCCATTGGTGCACAGTCAGGAATCGAACCTCGACCTCAGGGATGAGAGTCGCACGCTGAAGCCACAAGTCCAACACTGCTCTCTACAATCCTTACTACTGTATAAAGTTTATTTTTTGTTTAAATATATTTTTTTTCTTAAGCAAAGGTTAGTGGCAATATTCATGCTCAAACTTATCCGCTAATACTAATAACAGAAATAATATATTTCCAATTGTAGTTGCATTAATGCAGCTTGTTATCAATATCAGAATATTCAATTAGAAATTGACCTACTAAAGGGCTGTCATTCAACTTGTTCCATTGTTTGATTGGGCATTTGCCATTCAGGGTGAGATCTATAGTGCGCACTTGGACTTTGCTCAGACTTACCTTACGAAAAACTTTGCTTAGTGTACACTAAGGTTAAACTATGATTTCGTATTTATAGACATTTTAACGGTGAGATTAAGCTAAGCCCAAGCTAAGACAGAAAATGTCAAAATACAAATTGATGTTTCATTTCATGCAATACTTTGTTTATTATCCTTTAAAAAAGTTAACAATAACAAATATTTAAAAATCTAAAACGGTACACATATATCTTCAATTTATTGTTATTTATGTATTCATTTATTTTATTATTGCAATAACTAGAAATTCACGAGTAACCTTTAGAAAATGTATTAATTATTTAAAGATGACAATAATTTTATTACGTAGAACGGATCGCAATGTTTTGGTTAGGTTATAGTTTGAATTTCGTTGTCACTATAATATGCCAATTGCCAGGGCTGCCAGGTGACATACAAAATCACACCAGTTATTTTTAAGATTTCTCAAAAATGGGGTTTGAACAATTACATAAATAATATAAATAAACAACAATAAATACCATAATAATGTGTAATTATTTTATTTCATGCATTTCATAGGTATTTATCAAGATCATTTATAATTTCTTTGAATTCAAATTCTATTTTTCCCAAAGTCTATGGAACTCCGATACAAAATGGCAACACCGTTCATTAAAAACCGACAAAAATAAAAAGTCCAGTAAAAGATATGATGGTAAAGCAAATTTTGGGCCATTATTTTTGTTAGGCTTATAGTCAAAGTTTTTGGTAAGTCGTCGATTTCGTGGACTTGAGATTAAGCTAAGCCAACACTAGGGAGAGATTCGTAGTTTGCTCTATAAATACCGACTGTGTCTTAGCTCGATAGTTAAGTCAGAGCAAAGTCTAAGTGCGCACTATAGATCTCACCCTCAGTTTTGATCGATTACTTTACCGCCTATTACGAAAACCGCGTCTGCGTTTATATTAATTTTGAGATTTTCAATGCATTAATTTTGAAGTCAACTTGGTCTCGGTCAGCTTACTGTCTGGATTTCCGAAGATTTCTTGAAGATTTCTCTGAAGTCGGATTGTTTGTATTAGCTTTAGTCTTTGAGATTTAAATAATTTATTAAGAAATACAACTGAAACTTTTTAAAACAAATCTTTTATAAGATTTTTTTGGTTGACTTAGTTCTTGAGGTCTGTTTCTAATGCTCTAATAGACTGCCTACATGTGAGCATTCCAGTGACCTCAGTAAAGTTCCTCAATTAATTATTATTATAAATATTAAACATTACTAAAGCAATCATGAAAAAACAGCGCTAAACTACTCAATATAAAAGTACAAGTGAAATAAACAGAGGTTTATCTGTAAAATGTTAGCGGTTTCTTAAATGTAAATTTTGTCTGCAAGCAGTTACTATATATAAGTACCTGTATATATAGTAACATATATGTAAGTACCTGTTCATGTGAGAAGCTTCGAAAGAAATCGTTAATCTGTCTAAATACAACAACCGCCGCGCCGCCGTTCCACAACTGAGGCAGTTTCTGCCGCGCACCATCACTATGTGGAACGAAATCGACTTAGGGTCCTAAGATAAGAGCGTACCAATTTTTAAAGGGCCGCCTACGCACTCGCGAGTCATCTGGCATTGAGTGTCCATGGGCGGTATCACTTAACATCAGGTGGGCTTCTTACCCGTTTGCCCTGTGCATTAAAAAAAACTATTATTTATTATTGAAATATAAAAAAAACACAAAAATCTACTGTTATCCTGTATAATGTGTATATTAAAGTTTATTACCGTATCACCTATATAAGGATCCTTAATGTATACAAATTGCATGCGGTATCAGAATGGTCTTTTGTCTTGCATTTATTGCTGCGTCGGAGTGTCGGACGCCAAATGGCGCGTTAGCACGAGACTAACGGTAGTGAATGAGGATTTTATCGCCATTTTGATTGCTACTTGCCAATTGTCACGATACAGTGCTAACAAATGAAATGATACACGTTTGTGTGTATTTAAATGTTTCTACAGATGTATCTATTTCCTTCATAAATAAATCTTGTATTATAAAAGATGATCTTAACTTTTTCTTAGATGAAAATCTTCGCCAAGTACTTAATATAAAGTATTGTTGGTCGGTTTATTATTATTCAAACTTTATACCCTACCTGTACTAACATATGGATCTCAAACTTGGCCACTAAAGCGAAGCATACAATGCTATTGTGTCAAAGATTGATGGATAGGGAAACAAGGAATAGATCACAGAATACATTTTCAAGAAGAAGAACTGAGGTTAGCAGAGCAGTGAGAAGAGCAGATGTTACAATAAAAATAAATTAACTTAAGCGAAAATGGGCACATGGTAAAAGGAACAGAAAAGTGGAGCAAAAAAGTACTTAACTGCTGCCCAAAGTACAGCAAATGAGGAAGACAACTTAGAAGGTCGATATACCAAATTAAAGGGCACACAGATACCTAAAAGAAGATTGAAATAGGAACGTTTTTAAAAATGTAAAAGTATCCTTATTATTATTATTAATTATTCCATTCAATAATTGCTTATTTTATTTTAATACTAGAACATAGTATTTGTATTTGTAATATCCTTTTAGGGTAAAAGCCTCCTCCAATTTTTCCATTTATATTGAGCAATTCCTTATCTGTTCATCTTTTGTCCTTCTAAGCATCTCATTCCAGTAGGTCCAGTCCATTTTGTGGTTTTAAGTGGCCATCTTTTATCTCGCACCCTAGATATATGACCTGCTCATTTCCGTTTAATCCTTAGTACAAGTGCATCTGTAAGCTTTGTTCTGTTACGACTTCTTTCTATTGCTGGAAAGCATTCTTGATGTTTTCTTGCTAAATCCCACGTTTGGTTGATGTTTATAATTGCTTATTAAGATAAACGATACATTTTTTCCGTGAATCGAACGTAGTACTGTTTTACGCCAGTCAACAGTAATTAATCGTACAATGAAATACTTTTAGTATGTATCGTGTCATGTTTTATTAATAATGTGAAAGTTAAAGCAATATCATTAATTATTTTATTAGCCAATTAAAATGCACATCACATCATTTACGAACATATACGCGACCGTAATTTAAAAACAATAAAACATTAATTAGTTCCCTTATCGACACTTGTTTATTGATATTTTAACGATATAATTGTTATGACTTCAAAACAAAAAGCTGCATATTTGAACTATGGAATTCTAGGTTCGATTTTTATCCAGTTTTATTTGCAGAACTGTCCAGTGATTTTTCAAGTTATGTGATACAATCTCCCCGTTACTTTAAAATTCAAAAACGAAACATAAGGCTAACTCACGTAGGTACAACATAAATGTATTGAATTTTGACACGAGGAAGTCATGTTTTCTGCTAAGTATCGTTATCGCTGAATCTCACCATAAGAGCTGTATATACTCAAATGTATTTGAAGTAGGTATCTTATTCTAGAGGGGTTGGGTGATTTGTAATATAACAATAAACCCACTAGACCTAGGAAAGAGGAGTTTTGACAATCCCCTGCTGCAGAGTTTCTCGGCCACTGATCTGATCGCGTGGTTGATACGCTATAAATCCTATGTATATAAAAAAGTATCACATTTAATAATTCAGATATCGTATAGTTTATATGAAACAGTTTTCAAGTACATTCGCAATAAACCTTAGCAACGATGATTTTACATTTTCAAACAATTAACACGCTTATTCATATTTAATTGGAC